ATTATTCTATTAATGCAATGGATGTTGTTGCTTGTTTACTACTATGCATTGTTATGATACTGTACATGACGTCCTCCGCCCCAGAACGTTTCCGCCGTTCCGGTTTTAGGGTGTGACACAAATGCATCACTTTTGTGGTCTTGAAGAAGAAGGAAGCTTGAGGAGAAGCAAATAAAAAGAAGGAGCTTGTACATCCAGAGTTTGTGCATCATTTCTAGCCTATTGAAGGTATAAAGTCTGAAACTTGTTCATTCTAAGCTTAGATCTAGGTTTAGGGAAGATTTTAGAATCTTTTGGTCCCATAACTTGGTCTTTTGGAGTATGGGCTACTCTAGGCGATTTAAGATGTCCTTTTGGACTCTTAGGAGTGGATGAAGTCATAAAAATCGTATCTTGAAGATTAGGACTCAACCATGCATGTGTTGGCGACCACCTAAGGGAGTTAGAAGGCTCAATTCATGGTTTGAGTCCCAACAAGGCATGCAAGAGCATAAAGTTTGCAACTTTATGGCTTAAGACACTATTATAAGCTTGGATCTAAGTTTTGGACGTTAGAGCTTAATGGATTAAGATATAGGTGCAAGTTTGGGTTGACTGACCAGTACGTCGGGCGTACTCTACGCTGCGCGTACTGGGCCAGTGCCTCGATTCTGAATCATCAACGTACATCGCGCGTACAAGCCATGTACATCGCGTGTACGCTGTTATAGCAAGACATTTTTGGGCTTTAGGCCATGTTGGGTGCTCTTGGGCCATATTGGGCCTTAAAGGCCTTATAGTTGGGCTTGGATGCCTTTTTGGACTTGTATGAATTTAGGCCTTGGTGGGAGGGAGGCCCAATGAAGCAACGTTGAAGAAACCCTTTTTGCCTTAAGTCAATAATTAGGGTTGGACTTTCGGGTTAGAATATTGGTCTGACTTCTAATTAGGGTTTTATACTTGTGCCTTAGGGAGGGGATTTTGCGAGTCATCTGTTGAGTGCGATTTGATACCTTCGGTCTAAGGTGAGTTTCCTTCACTGTATCTGTGGGTCGAAGGCACCAATGTCGGCCCACTAGTTTATGTTGTAGTATGATGGTTGACTTCGTGACAACTATCGGTTTATGCCTGTGTATGCTTGATGACTCTGTGATTCTTTGTTATGATATTATGTGGTAGTGGTAGGGAGTGAAATAGACCCGGTATCCGGTTGAAATAGAACGAAGGGGATTGCAAGCACCTAGATATGCTTGACAGTATACGGTTGAAATAAACTGAATGAGATTGCAAGCACCCAAATATGCTTGGCTTTATGTATGTATGGTATGAGGTATTTTAGGGGAAAGTCACTAAGATTTGTGATTACAGTTTTCAGTTTATGTTTTAGGTACTTTCAGTTCGAAGGGGAAGGTCTCGGCCTGATCGCATCGCATCACTCTACGGTTTCCGCATTTTGAGATTTTGAGAATTTGTACTCTGATAACATGTTGCTATGATACACTTTGACTGTTTTGATATGAGTATCGTATTTTTTGCATGAACTTAAAATCAAAATTTTTATCTGTATTTTCTGGACATTACAAAGGAACTAAAAAAATAAAGAATAATGGTAATTATTGGATCTAAAATATTAAAGATAAAAAATACCGTTTATTTTGTTAGTTGAACTTGTATGCTAAACCCTAATTTTTTGTTTTTATATTTATTTTTTATTGAAAATGTAAAAGTGTATATAAATATTCATAAATTTATATCCTTTATAAATAAATATTCATATTGACATATAGTTTTTTTAATATACTAGTTCGTTGACATTCACATGTGTATTTAAATTGTATCAAATTTTTATAAACGTTAATTCTTATGTATTTGGAAATTGTATTTTTTTTTCAATAATTCTTAATCATTTATTAACTAATTGCTAATATTTATAAGTAATTTTGAGTAAGTTTTTACATATAAGTTGTATTTTTAAAAGAAAAATCAATAATCTAACAATATGATTCATATAAGTTGTATTTTTAAATAATTACGTGTGAATGTGAGTAAATTCACTCGTAAATCTTATTAAATTCATATGTGAGAATAATCATGGGTAAATATTATAAAAAAAGTTGCAAATTAATTTAGTTATATTAATATGTAAATTTACTCCGATTCATATGTGAATGTGAATATTTATTGAAATTCACATACCAATATGAGTTAATTCATTTTTGAATCTCACTAAATTAATTTGTTAATGACTAAATTTTTTTTACAATTTTTTATAATTAAATACGAATTTACTCAAAAATCACATGTGTCTGTGAACATATATTTGATTCACATGTAAATTCAATACGTACATTCGTTTATATAAATATTTATCATGCATATTCTTAATTCACATATAAATTGAATGATAATCAAGTAAACTGAGAAATCGTTAGATATTATATGATTCTTATACTGAATTAAATTTTGTAAATATTAGGTACAGTTATTGGCGAGTCTATGTGTATACACTTGACCCATCTTTTTTTTTCATATTTTATAAGAGATTATAAATAATTAAAATTGACAAATTTTCAAAAATGGTCTCTGTGGTATGCATTTTTTTGGGGTTTTAGTCCAAACATCGACTTTTTTGGATTGATGGTCCTTTTGGACTAGTTTGTATGTGAAAATGGACCCTCCGAAAATTGAAATGACTAAATTGCCCTCTTGATATATATTTTATATTTTTTTTCTATTTAATTTAATGTTTTATTAATAATAAAATGGGACACACACCCCATTCTCTCTCTCTCTCTCTCTCTCTCTCTCTCTCTCTCTCTCTGGAATGAGGTATGATCCAAAAAATAAAACGACATACACACACTCATTGCAGCAAAACACACACTTCTTGGGATGAAGAAGTTCCAATTCAGACTTCCTCCCTGCCGCCATCGGAGAAGACAACGAAACCCACAGTCTTCGGTGAAGCTGATGAAGGTAATGACGATCTGAAACCCTCTAACCCACCCAACCCCGACGAAGAAGGTTGGTCGATTTCCTCTCTAGTTTCTGATTTCTTGGTTTCAACAACCCCAGATCATGCACCTCTCGTCCCCCCTCTCTCTCTCTCGCCGGAAAGCATCATCGCCATTACTAATCTTGGTCTCAACAACTCCGATCTTCTCAAAACTTCGGTAACGAATTTCGACATAGATGCAAGTTACCGGCGGCGAGGAATTAGACCCAGATTATTTTATTATGACTTTTATTTCATCAATAGGTAGCGTATCTTTAATCATCTATCATTTGTTCATTTATTCAATGTTTACGTCAATTACCTTTTCCAAGTCTCTGATTGGTTTATGAACTGTGAAATTGTAATCTTAATTTGGTAAATTTGGGCGATTTTAGGGGAAAATATGTGAATATAAATTGAAGCCAATTGGTGATTTTGAACCTGTAATCAAAGCTAAGCTAGTGGAATCTTTACATATGCTCGAAAAGTATGGGACGCCTGTTCCAGTAAATTGACTCTCCTCCTAGGCAGATACGACATTCAATTGACTGAATAGATGGCTCTTCTTCACCAGCTGAATCGTATTCTCCTATCAAATGTGAGAGAAAGCAATAAACAGGAAATACAGTACGTGATAAGAGCTTATTCCAAACTATTAAATGCCAAAAAAAATGAGGATGGGGAGATGATCCTGGGTTGGAAGACAGGTTCCATGAAATAAATCTAGGTTGATGGGTTATTTTGTGTGTGTGTGTGTGTGAACGAATGAACGTTTGTTATAAACAAGGTTTAATTTTTTTTCCTGGTTTGATTGGTTTCATACAGGTTGAAATCGAGGACTAAAATCAAGTATTTTATTGGGAATTGGTGCAGTTTCTTAGAAAAATGGTTTGGTTTGGTTTTAATTTCAGGTTTAAGGTTTCATTTTGATTTAGTGTCGTTAGATTTGGCATTGGTGGTTATTGGTGGTGTTGTACGCCGGTTGTCGGAGTTGGTATCAAGGGCGGTGGTGGGTGGTCATGTTGGACTGTGGATTAAAGAGCAATGATGTTGGAGAGAGAGAGAGAGAGAGAGGTGGGCCCATTTTTATATTTAATAATAATAATAATTTTAAAAAGTGAAAGAAAAATTAAAACTAAATTCATTAAGGGTATAATAGTCTTTTTAGTTTGGACATGGACCAAAACTGCATGTAAACCAACTTAAAAGGACCATCAATCCAAAAAAGTCGAGGTTTGGACTAAAATCCCAAAAAAATGCATACCACAAGGACCATTTTTGCAATTTTGTCTAATTATAAATTGTGACCTATCTTAAAAACATGAAGTGAACCACCTTAATGTTTTTTACAACAAATATATATAAATCAGAATTTCAAAAGCTCACATTTTATGTTTTAATAGGCACCGAATTCATTTAAGGTATAATCCAATAAAAAAAATAGTCAAATACAAGTTAAAGATAGTTAGATAAATACGAGAAAAAAGAAAAAAACAAACAATAAAAAAAATTATTCTCAACACGTTGTTCTTCTCCCACTTCAAGGTATACGTTGATACCGTGATACACAATTGCACAAATCGGAAATTACCCACCGTCCGTCGGGCCCTGACCCCACAACTAATATCAAGATACAAAACCTTATCGAGTATAATTATAAAAATTTAAATCTTTTTTTTGGTTATACAACCCGACCCGAATTTGCAACTATTATTTTTTTAACATTTTTTTCGGTTTCACTTAAATAGTGAACGACATGATTTTACGTTCTAGACTCGTCACTGGGTATAGTTCAGATTTAAAAATAAATAAATAAATAAAACTATAATTTAAAAAAAAAAAATTTATATAGCAATATAGAGGTGTATTCATAGACACAAAATGAATTTTAATATGTTAAGTTTCATTTTGATAAAAAAATAAACCATAATTTTTTATTTTTTTATTTAAAAAGTGGATTTTTGCATAAATTAAGGTCATAAACTTATAATAATGTAAATGCACGTCCTCTATATATTGAATAAAAGTATGGATTAAATCGGTTTCTTGGTATAGAGACAATACAATGATACACATAGTACGCTTTTTCATAATATAGTTTATGATTATTACTGATACAAACAAAAACTAAAATAGACCAAGTATTTAAAAATTTTACACCACCATAGAGATAAAACAGTACACTACATGGAAGCCTCCATATCCAAAGTACTTAGAAACACGCATCCAAGAGGCAACAGCAACACAGCCCAGCACAACTGCCATAAAATATTTTTCCTTTCAAACCACAAAACTCAAATCTCGACCATCTAAAAAAAATAAAACTAATTTTTAAGATTACACAAATCACAACCATCAGATTAATCATATCAATGGCCGAGATTGAGTTCCTATGACCATATATAAATATAAATTGGTTATATTTTAGACACATCCCAAGTTATTTTAGCAAACCAACCATTATCTGGGTCTCTTATAGATGTGCATATTCTTAACTAACTAAAATATACACATCTAAAGACTCACATGATGGTCATATAGTTTGCTTAAATAACTTGGTATATATATATATATATATATATATATATATATATATATATATATATATATATATATATATATATATATATTCAAAGAGAGGGAGAGAATACCATCCCCTCCAGAATCCATCACCCCTAGGCTGAGTTCCATGAGGAGGATTCTGGCCACCTGATTCATAACCATCTTTCAACGTAGGACCAACCACCGGTGGTGGTGGTAGTGGTGGTGCAACCACATAACCCTTACCATTGCCACCCTCCAACGGATAATTATGAACTGATACAACATGATCAAGAACATCGATTAACAATTACATAATTATCAGTTTATCACCATTCAAACACACAAAAAGATGAGAATCAAGTATGCAAGTTTTTTAGGGATGGGTGGGGTGGGGTGGGGGTGGGTAGTACCTTGAGGTGGCTGGTTTTGCTCATATGTGCTCATTTTCAAATCTCAATTGCAATCCTCTTCTACTTAAGATATAGATATAGGTATGTGTGTATATATATAAACTATAATCCGAACAGGATTTAGCTATATGGTGGAGTAGCTATGATGGAGTAGTTAGCAAGAAAATAAGTACAACCAATTATGCCCAATGTACAACCTTAAAATCCATCGAATACCCAAAAACAAAACTTGGTCAACAATCTTGACATTTGATCATATCTTGCATCACATCACAATATATTTAAATGGAGATATTAAAAAAACCTAAGAATATGATGCTTCAAAGAAACACCATTAATGAGATTTATAAACCAAGAAAAAAATATGAATAAGACCTTAAGATTTCCAAATACAATTCTTGTAAGGTAAAACATGTAAAACCTTACTTTAGAACAAATTTACTACATTAAGAGTAATACGGAAAAACCGTTGTGAATTTCCAAATATACCCTTTACAAACTACCCTGCAACTCGTTTAGAAATGTATCACCTTCTTCATAATCATCATCTTTAAAAGAAGGTAACTTTGACATAAAAGTTTCATCTTCAAAAACACCCGAATCCCTCAAAACTTTAAAAAACGCCTCTTTGCTCTTTTCATCTTTTTCTTCCTCACAAATCTTTAAAAAAGACACAATATTTACAGGTTTCGGTTTCCAAAACCGTGATTCTTCATGTGAAAGTGCCTTTTGAAAGCAAGACAACGCATCAGAAAGCCTCCTATTCCCAATATGCCCTTCACCAATAATCTCCCATGAACTTGAATTCGCCTTCCCATTTTCCAACATTTCTTTAAAAAAAGATTCGGCTTTTTCCAAATACCCTTTTCGAATATACCAACCCAATAACCGATTCCCAATTCTTGCATCATAAGTTGTCTTCACTAAAAGCCATTCCTCATAAAGATTCTCAGCTTCTTCAATTTCATCCATTCTTATAAAAGATGAAATCACTGCATGATAACCCATGTTGGGTATATATGGAAAAACCGTTTTATAAGTCCCCCAAATCCTTTCAACTTCTTCCTTTTTTCCAATACTTCCATAATGACTTAAAAGATAATGATAAGGAATTCGATAACGCCCTGTAATCTTGTTTTCAATCATTCTTAAACAATCTTCAGCTTTTTCAATCTCTCCAAGCTTAATGTAAACAGTAGAAAGAGTGCTATAAGTAGTCCAATTTGGTTTCACATTCACATCAAGTTTCATTCTTTCAAACACTTCTTCCATCTTTTTCACATTCCCTTGAGACCCACGTGAAGAAATCCAAATACTATAAGAATATAAATCCAAATCTATCTCTTTTTGCATCATTTCTTGAATAAATTCCTCGACTTTTTCGTATTCTTTAAGGTTCATGTAGAGTGTCATCATCACATTATATGGAAGTGCATGGTTTGCATAACGTTTTTTCTTCATTTCTTGTAATAAAGATTCGGCTTTTTCTTTTTTTCTTGAGTGTACATATGCATTCAAGAGGGACCCGTATACACGATTGTCTATTAGATCATCTTCTAGATTTTTGAAATAATCTTCAGCTCCTGAAACACCATGTACTTTGGATATAAGATCTAATTGAATTGCAGTGTCACTTGGGGACATGATGAATCTTTCTGGTTTGTTGTTCATCCAATCATACACCTGCAAGAAAGTAGACAATTTATGTTTCATAAATCATGGATTTGGGTGTATATCACTCACATACAGATGGATGAATAAAATCCAGTGTTCGCAACTCCTAAGGTTGTTATGTTTCTCAACTCACAACTAAATATCTTTCAACCCAAGGCTTTATGGGTGATTCGATAAAGAATGAATCAAAATATCAAATTTATAAGTAATCAGAACAAAATCGAAGAAACCCATGAATTAAAGTGAAAGAGAAATGCGAAATAAACGTACCTCAAGAGCAAGCTTGTAACGACCATACTTCCTCAATTCTTTCACAAGCCTACAAAGCTCCCATTTTGTAGTAGTTTTTCCTTCATTCTCCCATTGATTCAACACACTGCTAGACCCCTTTTCACGATTACCCATCATCGAAATCCTCTTGTAGATAGCTTTCCAAGCAACCGTTGTTCCTGGCTTCTTTTCGTAGTCGACTGTGCTATAGTTGTAGACATTTGAAGCGTATAATGACGAAGAACAATTTCTTATGACGAGTGAACTGAATTGCGCTCTTTTGAGAGGTGAATTGCGAAACCCGGGAAGGAAATTGATAGAATTTGAGAGGGAAGAGGATGATGATGAAAGGGATAAGGGTTGCGGGTGTGGTGGAGATTGGGAAATTGTCGAGTGGAGTAACATTTGTTTTGATTCGTTTCTGAGTTAATTAGGGCTTTAGGAAATGCTTCGAACTCTTGAAGCTTGAAAGGATTCAGTGGGAAAAGCTCAAGGGTTATCTTCGTGTTTTTTCGTACCTGTGACAGGAAAGAATGGGGCGGCCTCCATCCAACACCCCCCTTCCCCATACCCACCCATGGATGTGACAATTTTTGCTTTGAAAATGAGTTAACCTTCAAACGGCCCTTGATGTTTCTTGTAATTACAATCAGTCCCCATAATCTTTATCAAGTTTAACTATAACCACCTTGTGACTCAATTCGTAAGACTCGGTAAACTCCACTTCTCTGAATAGAAAGACTAAGTTCAAATCATCAAGGCTTCAATCATTAGGGGTGAACATTCGTACCAATGGAGGACCAAACTAGGACATTACCTAGATGAGATCGGTTTTAAACTATCGGGTCGGTTATTGGTATATGAAATCACACTCAACTGGTTTCTTTTTTTTACAAGTTCGGTACACTGATTCGGTTTGGACCGGTACATGAAATTACCTCTTTTTTTTTTATTGTTTTATTAGTTTTTATGTGTGTTATATGAAAATTTTAAAAATCCCATATAAACATTCATTTGAAGTCGGATTGACAAACAATTTTTTTTTAATATTTAGTTTAAAGGTTGAACTTCAATTTAGGCTATAATTACATCATTTTTTGTTACGTATTTAATTAGTTATAGTACCTCGAAGTCGGGATATCAAAGTTGTAATATGTGAAACTTGTAAAAATTACATAACTTATGTGATTGAAGTTGGATTAACATGAGATCTTTATCATCATGTATTTTAGAGTTTGTGCTTCAATTTAGTATGTATTTATTCATTTTTAGTTCCACATTCAATAAGTTATAGTCTCTTGAATTTGAAATATTTGAAAGTTTTTCAACGACTTACACCGTACACAACAAATGTTCTACCGGTGTAAGAATTGGAAAACCAACACCGAAACCGGTTTTCACAAATCAAATGGTGGACCACCTCCAAAAAGTATGTTCCAAATGAGAATACTCTAAAAAGGGAGTCAAATACAAATTGTGTTTGGATATATTTTTGTTTGATTATCACTTGAAATAAGTTGAGTATTGATCTACATTTTCTAACAAAATATTATCAGAATATTTTAGGATGGAGAGATATTGAATATTGTGTAACACCCCATCTTTCAAGTAACTTTAAATTCATCCCTTGGGTTTTAATTATGTCATTTTTGGTCCTTGGATTGGTAAGAAGTGGCCATGGGAAGCCCTAGTGGCAAGCTGGTAATTTTGGAGCATGATTAGTACGCAGGGCGTACATGTGAGTACGATGGGCGTACACATATGTACGCTGAGCGTACGTGTTTCCGGGTGAGACCATAATTTTTAGGGTTTGTGGAGTATTTAAGCACCGTTATGGGTCATTTTGACTCACTCTTTCAGCCCTCAAGTTCTTTAGCCGTTTTGAGAGAACCCTAACCCCTATGAGTGAGCATCTTGAGCTTATAGTGTGATTTTATGTGCCAAAAGGAGAAGATAGTGCACCAAAGGAGTCAAGGAAGGAAGCAAGCTTGTAGATCTGGGATTATGATGTTCTTGGGAAGCTCCAGAGGGTATAAAGCTTCTATCTTTATTCTTGGATTATTTAGATCTTGTTTTGGTTGCTTTTTGGTATTCTTCTTGTCCCAAAAGTCTCGATATTGTGCATGCTTTGTTTTGGACGTGTTGGGCTGTCCTTTCAGACGTTAGGATGGGTCCTGAGGCATAAAAATGAGGTCCCTTGAGTTAGTTTGGTCCTTTGTTCCTTGTAGGAGGTCTTAATGGATTAAGACCATGTATTAAGCCCTTTTTGGACGTCTAAAGTATTAAAGTTTGAGACTTTATGATTTGGGAGTACTTTTGAGTCATTGATATGAAGTTTGAGCTTAAGTGCTTAATCCATTAAGCACTTATAAGGATTTTAAGACATGCGAGGGTACGCCCCGCGTACCTGGTCAACGTCCCCATATGCGGTCAATACGAGGCTCGCGTATGCCCTGCGTACCTTCGGGGTACGCCCAACGTACGCCATCTGGTGGGTTTTCGCTTTTGGGCTTTGTGCTATTGGCCACCTTTTGGAATTTGATTCTTGGGCCCTAATGGGCTATCTAAGTAGTGTGTTCTGGACTAATTTGATGATTGGACCTTAGGATAATGCCAAATAAGGAGTTGGGCCCAATTTGGAAGTTGGGCCAATTATGGGCCTTGAGGTAATATGGGCCTTTTGGATCAAGAATTGGGCTTGGGTCTTGGCCTAATTAGGGAATGGGTGAAATGGACATTTACCCTATGTATGTATCATTGGTCAAGGATGGTAATCAAATTGTTAATTGGATGTTTGTTTTGTTGTGTTAGTTCGGGATTTTTGTGGGCTAGTAGTCGGAGGTTTCAGTATGATTCGCCATTGCGAGGTGAGTTTTCCTCACAGTACTTTTGGGTCGAAGAGACCAAGGCTGGCCCATTGGTTTGATATCATGTTATTTACTGATATGTCGAGTATGGAATAGATATGCATGGGTATGCTAGTTCTTGATATGCTAGTCTGGTAGATCTGTAGGACTACCTATGATTATGTCTGCATGATTATTTGCGCATGTGGCTATCTGTCAACATATTGTGTTGGGTTGACGTTGTACTACTTCGTGCTATAGCCAACAAACCCTGGGGAATTCAAGAT